GATTAGCTAACCAACCAGTCAGCCAAACAATGCAGACAAGCTTCCAACTGCCAAACCAACCAGCGATCCAACGAGTGAACGAGCCAAAGCCAGCACATGCAGCCAGCCGGGGAACAATCCAACCCGCCAAGTTCAAGAGGCAATCCATCCATCCCAAGCGCGAACGACAACTCCGTAAGGTTGCTCCGTCATCTTCTGCTGCCGACCACAAACACTTTAATATAAGCCACTCAAGCCAAGTGTGCACAGGCACCACTAATCGTACACATACAGGCACACCTCCTTAACGACTTCGCATGACTGTACCTTTCCAAACGAGCACGAACACAACTCTCTCAACGACCCAGCTTGGAGCATACTTTCTGAATGCATTATCCAAAAAAAAAACACTTATTCTGATGCTATCCTGAACACCCCCGTCCCATTGACGCAACTCCATTGAAGCTAGCCACCCGGACAGATGTCTATGTGAACACAGCTATCGAAAAAACCTCTCCACCTGAACCACTAGTTTGCTATGCCACTCCTCCACGAAATCACATTTTGCTACGAGCCTATTCTCAACACGGCTACTTTTGAACGCACCTTCATGTGAACAGATCGTGCTGTGACTATCCCTCCTCGTTAAAACATCTCCCCATAACACTAGTATCAGCACACCTAGCTATGAGCACACCAACCTTTATGAGAACAAACCTATGAATACCATCTATGCGAACACACCTCTCAATACTAGCCTGAGCACACCTAACTATGGACACACCATCATGTCAATATATCTATTAAGACACCTCCGTATAAACACCCCCGTTCAACCAGACTCCCTACGACAATGTCAACAGTTGCTGCGTTCTGAAATAATAGTGCCCACCGTCCATCCAAGGCTTGCCCTACAAGCTCAATACAGGCCAACGTGAACGTTTATCACGCAACAATACTGCTCACATCGTGTCCCCCGCATCCCCCCCCCCCACCCCCCCCCCACGATGGGAAAGGCTTCATGGGATAAATCCCACGATATTTATGGAAGCCGCCTAACTTCCACCGAGTCCCGATACAGCCTCATCCTTGGTTTCCAACCGCAACACTGCCCACAACCCTACTTCACCAACACCACTGCCACGAATGGGCATTTCATCCTGATTATTGTCGAAAAAGATTAACCGTGTTCATGAACACTCACGCGTGCACGCACACACTCGCACGGCAGGTCAAAATAATCGTATCCTTATGCTCAAAATGGCTAAAAGAGATGCTCATCTCGAGTGGGAGACCTGAGCTAGAAGTGTCAATTCCACATTAATATGGTAGGGGACAAGTTTTTTTTTGTTTTCCTAATATATATATGTACCAGATGGGCACAAAATTCTGCTGGTCAGAGTAAAGTGTGGTGCCGATGTATAGCGCCAATCCCTGTTATCACAAGTGTATAAAATCTGCAGATATCCGCCCAGCGGATTTTTTTTTTCTAAACCAATAAAAATTTGCATGATTGTTGTTGTTGTTGAAAATGAATGCACGCGACTCCACGTTGACGTGCATGGGGAAGGGGGGAGTGTGTAACACCCCGTCCGGGTGTGTACATAGATAGTCGGGGGGGGGGGCATGCCTGTGTCACAATGTGCATGCGGCTGCAGTGTCGACCTGAATGTACCCTGAATGTGCAGAAAGGGTGGGGAGGGGGGAGGAATATCTGCCAACATATGTGTTGGTCTCGGGTGTAATGCATGTCAAGGTCTGCGAGTACGTGTCTTGCACACGTCAGCATGTGTGCAATTCTAATGAAACACCGGTGTATTCCTTGGGGGTTTTTTTTAAGAACCCGCTGTGTTTCAGTAGATAATGAGCATACAATATTTAGCATGTAAATAAAATGTGAAACCTAAAGATTATAACACCGGCAAACACAAATTCGGTATTCCGCATTCTGATCACGTCAAGATTTATGGTTTTGCAAAGTTTGCAATTCCATGCCCATCCCCTACATAAACATGCACATATACAAAAGTAGGTAACCACACACACTTATGTATACACACAAATATAGAAATGGTATGTATATATATGTACCAACATATGTAGAGAATATGCCGCATATATATACGGGTATATACTGCTGTAGAAAAGGGACAAATCCAATTTTGAATTGGGAGACGATAAAAACCACAGCGCCCAGTGCACGTGTTTCAATATACAGGGACTCCTCGATTTAAGAACGAGTTAGGTTCCAGAGGTCTATTCGTAAGTCGATTTGTTCGTAAGTCCAACTTTACTCCTGTCGATTCCAAACATGTTGTACGGCGTGTACACTAAACACAGGGAATGGCTTTAAAAGTTGTATAATCTCCTGTAGATGTCACTGGTTCTTCATCTTCTGCAGATGCAGATGCCACCACCGCCGCCATCTATTGCACAGCGGTTGAACTTACGACTCTCAGTCCGAACAGGCAACTGTACATACGGACAGGTTTGTCCGTATCTCTGAAAGCTCATAAGTCAAATGTTCGTAAGTAGAGGAGCCCTGCATCGAACTAAAGCATCATCACAAGGAGGCAGCGTAAAAGGAACAAGAAATGCCCACGTTGCCCAAGATTTTGAGAACGTAACACATCGCTCCCCAAGTCTGTTATTGTTAGTAATTCATAATGTGGCCAAAGACCTCAAGGGAATTACATGGTCGAGATGAAATAAAATCCTTGAAACATGAGAATCCTGCAAGATGAACGCAAGATATAGCAGATTTCCTGGGTACGATCCACACACACACATGCCTCTCGTACAAATTTAACCCTCACCTCTCGTGACCCGTGGATAAGCTCGGCTGTACAGGGCCAAATGCGAAAGAGCAACGGGAGGATTCATCCCCTTTCTAACATTTTCTAAAAAATGATACAGTATACATAGCACGCGCGCACACACACACGCATTAATACATTACATGTATATGCATAAACTCCCGACATCTAACATCATGAATAATAAAATATACGCAATGTAAAATGGCATTAACTTCACGTTGTATTATTCTCGCTAATGCAGCATTATCTTAAAATCATGCCTAATATCCCATGAAATATATTCTATATGTGCACACTACAAACTGTACATTACAATGAGCAGAGCTGAGCCTGGGAGACGAGTGGCGTGTCCAACACAGGACTTTCACACGAAGCAAGGAGAAAACGCGCGTGTGTGAGTGAGTCTCAGTGCACGGGGGGGGGGGGGGAAGGGGGGTTTCCATCTTTTTGGTTGACCAAAGCCAGACCCCACAAGGTGCAAGCTGAGCAAACACAGGTCCAGCTGCGTAGCACGGTTGACGACGTACGGCGAGAAAAAAGTTCTCACACACATGTACGAGGCACTGCGGCCAGCAATGCAATTTGGTTAGAGACGCATTATCAGACCCATCATGCCGATGCCGCATTCAATCTGCAAGGGTCGAGATTGTGAACTGGCCAGATTCAAAACCAGAGAGATGGAAACTATTGTGCACCGATCACTCAAACCTGTTAAGAGTTTTGAAAAAATTATTTTCAATTCCAGTTTTTTACATAAAACTTTTCTTTCTAAACACCGGGGCAAACAATGACATCTACCTTCACCTTTCTGAACAACGGATACAGTAGTAAGCATGAAGCGATTCACACTTGGCCCCCTCTCTCTCTCCCTACCACTTCAATTGTATGACTTGTGGAGGCATCATCAAAGAGGTCTTGGCTTCACAAAAGAAAATTCATTATCTTGTATGATAGCTTGTACTGTCCATGTCTTTTGTACTGTCGGTTGTATAATTTCATTTGTACTGTCTGCATTGTCTCCATTGCAGTTTGTATATTAATACTACAAACAAGAAAGTACAATCGAGACCTTGCCAGAGCACTAAAGCAGACCGCCCGTCTCCGTGGTTTCATTGTTACTGTTTGTACGGTACTATTAATCTCATTTACAAAATCTCAACCGTCTGTTGTCATTTTCAACTTGTGGCTTATTTGTTCTATTAGCTATAAATGAAACTTCTATGAACTGCGGGCTACGAATCGAACGTAAAAAAGATCCCAAAATGCACAAGTCAATGCACGTATCGCAAACTTAAGAATTCAAATCGACGAATCTATGCAATGTTACATCCATTCCAGGAGCCTACTTCCCCAATTGTGCCACCCCCTCACCGCAAAACAATTTTCCTTTATCCTCACATATCTCTTCCCCTGACACCAGGCCAGACAGAACGCCAGACAGACGGCCATAGAGAGAACCCGAGCAAGACAATGGGCATAAAAGGACACTCCCCCTATACACCAAGTGAAAGAGGACGACACACAATCCTGGCACAAACACTACGTCTAACACACGACCCTCCCAGATGCCAGGCGAAACAATGCAGCCCTCCGAGACACCAGGTCTAAAGGGAATCTTCTCGAAACACAAGGCCAGACGAGCAGTCACAGTACACGAGGCCACACATTGACCCCCATCTCACTGGACATCAGGCCAACTCAGGTCCTATGGAACACCAGGCCAGACATCATGCACGTTTACAAGGACACACACGGCCACAATGGGTTTTCCTCGAGCCACTTCGAAAGGGGACTTCTAAGACACCAAAGACAGAGCAGCCTGTCCTAGACATGCACACTGCAGGAACTGTGGTTGGCAGGCTGGCAAGTAGAATCGCAGAGCAGCAGCAGCACTCCATCCATTAGACACAGGACACAGTGTTACAGCAAGACAAATAACTATTTATATATAATATATAGTGTGTGTGTATATATAAGGCACTGGGACTGAACATTAACTCCACCTCTTGAGTGAGAAGGTGAGAGTGAGGAGGAGAAAAGGGAACGAGTAGGGAGGGGGTTGGAGAGACGCGAGTGCAATGGGGGGTTGGGGGGGGTTGCGTGGAGAGGGGGGGGTGGGTAATTTTCCCCACCGCCCCTGCATTCAACCGTTGCCCCCGGTCAAAACATTTGCAAGGACCCCCCCCACCCGCCCGCCCCAAAACCCCCCACAACTCCATTCTCCCCCCACCACTATAAGTGCGCTTTTGCATTCCGCGCAAGTGAGCTAAAACGAGCTAACACGGGTTTACACAACTGCGTACACAAAACGAACGCATTACGACCATACCCAAGCTATGATTCTGCAACACCAGTATATATACTAGGTCATATGTTTTTTCTTCCAAAAATCAAAAAACAGCACGCACGCACACACGCGGACGCATATAATGTCAATAATGATAAACCAAACGGCACTATTTTTGTGTAAGAGTGTACGCGCACTCGTACACACACTTCAAGCATAATAAACATGATCGGATCGCCTACAAAAAAAATGCACGGCACACCACCACAAAAAACGCACGGGTAAAACCTAGAGCCGACACAGTGACACCGAGTAATACACGATTAGCACACCACACCGGGTGACGACAAACACATACACGCGAGGGCTTCATAAAAACCAGCCCCGTGTAAAACTTAATTACAATTAAGAAGATTTAGTTAATTAGTAAAACGATCACGTGAAGACAATAGTAAAAGTTTTAAAAAACGTAACAAATAAAATACAGGCCACATTCGCTGGCCTCCGCAGATCCCACACGCGTAGTAACTAGCCCACAGCACAACTGGACATGTTAACACAGAACGGTCGGCTCCAGCCATGATTAAGCATAACCTCTGCAACCTCTAACACCTAAGCAAAAACTTCGGACTCCTAAATGCTATACGAATAAATTTCAGCCTCTTTAATTATTGACGTCTACACCTTAAGGCCTATAAAGCAGCTCTAAGTTTTTGTTAAATCTTTACTGTATAGCCACCCGTACTGAAAACTTTAAATGTATAACGTCCAAAAATTAACACCGGTCCTGTAACCCCAAGCTTATAAGCGCAATACCTGACTATGCTCACAGCCGACACAAACAGAACTGGCCTTCGTTTTTTTTATCCAACACGCGCGTAAAGTACAGGGGAGGGGGGTCGGCCAGGGGATCGATGACTCTCTTAAAATTCTCTACCCGGGTCGGGTGTCACATGTACAACTCGGTTTCATATAGCGTCGAAATACAAAAAAGGGGGTCGCAATCCGTACGCTGCATCCAATTGCGCGCGGGCGCGCATCGCGGGAAGGCACCGCTGGCCGAGTGAAATCAGCTCACGCGCCATTCCGATCGGCGTCGCCCACTATGCCTTACCACACTTTAGTCTATTGCCTGTCACGTAGTCTCGATGCATGTAACAAATGCCTATTGCTCTCTTACCACCACATGGGTCTCTCAATACGTACATAAAACATGCACGCACTCACACACGCAAACAAACACTTACAGCAGTTAAGTTGTTCTTCCAGACACACACTGCGTGCAATAGAGAACAAAACGGCACGTAACGTCTAACATGATAGAACGTGTACTTTGAATATTGAGAAGGGTATGGTTGGACCAACCCCGCAAACACTTAGTCAACGGAGAGTTTGTTTAACATTTTTGAAATTAAAAACTAGTAAAAGCCATTAAGTTTTAAATAATAACAATTATCACCATTACCAATACAGAGTAAATCCATCAATGCTCTTTTAAGTAAAAGGAAGTCACCAATCAAAACAGAATTTCAGTATCTACACGAGCATAGACAGTGGACACAATAAAACATCCCTTTCCAGCCTAAGTCGACCTTGGGGCGAGTGCTGTTAGGGAAGTTCTATTGAGGCCAGCATGGCATATAAATCGGTGGTGTTGGTGGTGTTCAGAACCACACGCATCCGCTTATAATAGTTCCGGAGTGCTGGTGTGTTGGCCAATATACACTGGCTGATTCAATTATGCTTAAGCGGACCAATTGTAGACCAGGGTTAGGTATCGCACCCTTTGTCGTTCCCCCGCACCTCCGATTAGCACGGTCGGCTACGTACGGTGCGAAAGAAGTTCAACATACATACACACATGCACACAAGCAACAGACAATAGTAACGACACACACTCAAAACACAATCAACCTCCCCACACTTTAAAAAACACAAATACCGTACACACTTGACACACAAATTCATAACGGAACAGCAAAGTACAAAGCATTGCCATGGCACTGCTTTAAGAAGGCCAACCATGGCAAGTTAGCTTCGATATAAAAACAAACAAAAATTTGTTCAAGCACATACAATACACACCACATCGAGATAAATGTGTATTTTGACGCTATAAAAAATTGTATTGCATACATAGAGTTCTGCATTTTTGTCATTGTTACAAAATAGTTTGTCGTTAAATGCTTACTCTGATGAAAAAGATAAAAATGCAGTTTTTAATGGGGTTGCATTAATGATCAAATTTGTTCAATACAATTTTCATTCACGACAGAAAGTGCACATTGGCAGCGACTTGCACGTTGAGTGTGAAAAATTATTTTCACTTTTCACGAAATTACAAAGTTCGTGAAAGCACGACTCATAAGTCAATATTGTAAAATGTCAGCTCGTAAAAAGTACATACATGATTAAAACCTGTTAAAGTCAGAGTTGAAAATACATATTTCTTATTTGAATTCCCCCAAAAATATTTTCTTGGGAGAAACATTTGGTAAATATTACTGCGTGGCCTTAAGGTCAATGTGTCCACAAAGGTTACTTTTTTGTTTTAAACCAAAACAGAGCCCAGTTCCATTCTTTGGCAGTTTCTTAGGGAGCATTACTCAGAAGCTCTGCTGTAAACCTATTCGTACCAAGTGGGCACTGGGTGCTACTGCAATAGTGTAAATAAAAAATGTGAAAAACACCCTCTGGTAATCACGAGCCACGGCTACAAAGCAGGAAAATTAAATTAATGGAAAAGGTCTCTCATGGGCCTTAATAAGTTATATTAAAATACATATCTTTTGACAATGCAGAACTCTAGGTAAACAAATGTACATTCCCAGATGTAAACCTCATTCTGTATCACGGAGGAACAGATCATTCAATCCTAGTTGAATGTTTAATTTCGATGGGATCCACCATCTTCGTACCCCGACCCCTACCCCCCTCCCCCCACCCCACAAACCTCCGTAATAAAAATTCGGAGACGCCACTCGCTCAGCCCCACAAGATCATCACATGTAGGTGAACGTGCCGATCTTGCCGGGGCTGAGCGGGTAGCCCGTGTAGATTGCCGAGCCCTGCGATGCTCCTAGGTACGGCGCCCTCACTGGCAAAGCGGCAAAGTGCGGAGAGGGCAGAACGCGGTGACCGATGGCCACCAGGGCGCCCGGGAAACCAGCGCCAGGGCCAGCGCAGCCACGACCCTGGGGGGGTGCAGCAGGACCCCCGGCGGAAGGATGCGGGGGCCCCACCAGGTGGGCCGCGTAGGTGTAGAGGTGCGTCTGTGCGGGCGGCGGCGGGGGAGGTGCTGCCAGGTGGGTGTGCAGCGCGTGCGGGGGGCTCGCGTGCGGGAAGCAGTAGGGAGCGATGTACGCCTGCTGGCGACGGGCGCTTATGCCCGACGGGGGCTAAGAACGAACACACACGCACATGTACGTACACAGTCAGATACACGGAGACAGAGATAAACATTAACAACAGCAGCAGCAGCAATGAGAGTCACCATTCACAACAGCACCTTGTGCCAAAGTTTGGTTTACTATGTATTTATAAATTAAAAACTAAAGCAAGGATGCAAAAAAAAACACACACACACAGCCATGCGCAAGAACAAAGCTAATTATGCATTGGACAAGAGTCCAGGGTTCCCCGAGCCACCAGGGAACTTCTCTTTGTTACAGCTCTCACCTGGCTGAGGTTCAAGGGCTGCTGCTGGTGCTGACTGTGGCTTCCCCGGTGAGGAAGGCCATGCTGCCCAGCCCCCGGCAAACCTAACCTGACTCCCCGGCCCCCAACACCACATGCATCTGTTGGCGCACACACACACATATACAATGACACCCAATTTAGTCTTAAACTAAGGCGCTTGAAATGTATATTTTGGCAGGCAACATAATAAAATAAGCGTGTTCTGGTGGGCCACGCGATGTCATGTCAGGTGTATAGATGTTATCACTTGACATGGCACCGTGACGTCACAACATCTGTGCATGTGACCAATCATCTGGATCGCTCATCTACAGGTCACTATTTCATCTCTCATTAGAATCTCTTTACGTGTAGGCGAGCTAAGACCGATCATAGCTCGGTGGGTCCATTCTGGGAGCTCTCACTAGCCACATCTTGGAAGAGGGTCACCACTTGAAGAAGGTTGGGGGCAAGTGCTGTTGGCAAGGCACTATTACAAACAGCCAGTTGGATACCAAGCATGAGCCAAACGCAAAATGCGTCGGCCAAGCTTGTCTCCGCAGAAGTGGTGCCGATGCACAGCACCGACTTATTAGCCATGCGAGAGGGCATCAGGACAGTAAAACGTGTTTGCAAGGCAGACCTGGGATGCAAAGATCATACGTAACATGAATGTCACTATGAGATCTCTTTTACCAGTGGCAAAATATAGTAGTAGGTTTTTACCCTTTTAAAAGGGTAAAAACCTACTACAACATGAATGTCAATTCAGAAAAAAAGAAAACAATCTTCCTCAGCATAGAAAATTATTTCACGATAAAACATTAACTGCTTGAAAACAATCAGTATAATACTATTGATGTATTGGAAGAGGTTTGTAATTGCATTTATAACTCGAGAACTTACACGCCAAAAGAATGGCATACAAGTACTATTTTTACACTGAGTTTGTTCTTGGAAAGGGCAAATGTCACCTCACCTGGAAAATGGGCACATTTAATATGGAGGGATGCTGGAATTACATAAACAATTCTAATCGGTCATTCCGTCAATAATGTTTTGAAAGACAAACGTCTTTCATTATTTCAACAATAGAATGATGATTGTTTGTAATTAATTTCCTCGTTTAAGCTAACATAAGCTAACCAGCAATTCCATTTTATTGACGATACATTTCACATTTTAGATTTGGGCTATGATAACATCACACAAAGGCCCCCCTTTACTCTTGAAAATAACGTCACAATGATCTCTTTCATCCACTTCACACCCTACGGGTGATTGTAGATATTGAACCGTTTTTTTTTCTTTGACAGGTAAGGCCCACTGAGATATACATCTCTTTTTTTCGAAGCGACCTGGCGACAAATGATAGCTCAGCGAAGTGAATTATCGCGAGGAAATATATCGCAGCCAAATAATCTCAACGCATTTTGTTGACAAATGTGGAGGGAAAAACCGGAGGGCACGGAGAAAAAATCCACGCGACCACGGGGAGAGAGAAGATGCAAAATTCCAAATATACCAGGCGAGGTAGTTAACAGCTAACCACCCTGCCGCCTGTACATGGTGCAGCACCGTACGTACCGAGAGTGATCTTGTCTGTGTGCTGGTGCTGCAGGGGCTGCACCATGGCTGAGGGGGGCGCTAGCTTCCTGTACCCCCAGTCCCCTGCGGGCGACGGACGGCCTGCGGGTGATGGGGAGCCACTCTCGGGGGAGTCGCACACCGTCACGCAGCCGATAGGGGTCTGCTGGTGGCCGTTGGCTTGGCTGCAGACAGATTAAAGGGAACGAGTGCCAAACACACGTGTCCACGCCATGAGTACAAGTGCATAGACAAAGATCCCCTTACAGACTGTTGGGGCAAGTGCTGTTAGCGTGCACCTATGAAGGCTGTCATGGCACACAAGGGGGTGGGGGTCTCCAGCACCAGTGACGATGTTTACACATTGCGCCAGGTACTCAATTGAGACCGAGTCGACATAGGGGAGAAGCCCAGGACCAGTTCAGGTATTCGTCACTGGTGTTGGCCGTGAGCGGGAATCGAACAACTGTACGTTTAAACAACAACAGCTCAGGCGCTGGTCCGACAGCCCGCACCTGCACGTGCGCTCCTCCCTTTCCGTGTCCGTGTCGCTGCTGATGGTGATGACGCTGGTGCTGGGGCTGGGCGTGTCCGTGATGACGATGGTGTGGGCGCCCCGGTGGGCCCCGGGCGGGGCGCACCACACTGCGCCAGAGCTGCTGCCCTGAGACGGGGGGCTCCCGCGCACCACCGTGCAGTGCGGGAGGAGCGCGGTGGCGGCGGATCCCGAGGGGGCCAGAGGGGGCGTCGGCGGGGAGCAGTTCTCCTTGTTGCTCCGCTTGTGCTCCCCCCCGGTTTGGCTGCAGGCAGCACTGCGCACGCGCGGAACGCAGAGTGTAGAACGGAAGGCACGTGAACGCAGAAACGCAATACGATTTTACTTCGTGTCTCAAGAAGCAATGTTAAAGTTGCACACAGGGCTTGGGAATCTATCGGCCGTGGGCTCTATCCGATCCACAACTTCATGTCACCCAGTCTTGCAGCCACACGACACGCTAGTTTGAAACGGCCCGCAAATGATATTTGTCTGTCAATGCATCTTAGCCGCACTAATTGGGTAACAGAGGGGAATATTTCTGACCTGACAAACTCGTGTTTGTAATTTTAGCATGCTCAGGTCACTTCCGTCACTGCCAGGGCCTTGTGTTAGTAAATGAAAGTGCGAATTAGCCACGGGAAAGAAAATGTTCCCCAGCAGCCCTGTTATAGAGAAGCGGTCATTCATAGTCAGAGCAAACGAGGTCCTACTCTTGTTCTCTTCCCAAACACACATGGACGTGTGTCGGTGCAGCTTTGAGTGCAACATGTACGTATATTCAGTGTGTTGTCCATATACACACACGTGTGCACGTGTAACAGTACATGTCAACTTTTCAGTGAGAGAGTTCTTGCATGCTTGCTTTTCACGCACTTGTAGACATCTGCTTGCTATTGCATGCACCTGTGTATGTGTACCTGTGCGGTTCTGCATGTGCTACCTGTAAGTAAGGTACATGTCAACGTTAACAAATGCTAGTGTACTTGCATATACATATGCTGAAAATCGGGCGTAAAAGCTTGTGTACAATCACGTGCGTGCACTCACCGGCAAGACTTGGGCTTGTGCTTGCGTGTGCCGTGAACCAGCGATGGGGGCTGCTGGTGCTGCTGGTGGTGGTGCTGCTGTTGGTGCCGCTGTTGCTGTTGATGCTGCTGCTGTTGGTGCTGATGCTGCTGCTGTTGGTGCTGATGCTGCTGGTGTTGATGCTGCTGCTGTTGCTGCTGCATCACGTGTGGCCCTGCCACGCCTCCGACCCCGACAGCCACACCGAGGGGGGGTCCTCCAGGGAGCGTGACGCGCCCTGCCAGGATCGGTGGCTGCTGCACCAGCGCCCCGTACGACGCTCGGTGCGGGTGAGGTGCCCTGTACAGAACATGCAGCAGGTGGAAGTCAAGTTGAGACTGGAAGTGTGTTTACTTGCCGAATGCAACAATATTTCTTGCCAGCCAATTTGCCTTTCATAATTTGGATGCTGTTTTTTTCCCTCCTGAGAAATCTCCTATTTGATAACCAGTCTCTCACACTGGAAGGCAATGAGTGAATGATTGGCTAATCCTAGTCTTGTGGTCAAGCAATACGACCACAATATCTGGAATTACATCGTTTTAAAAATAAATTTTTTTGGTTGCTTGAAACAAAACTTTACAACATTGATACGAGTGAAAATACAGCAAGTTTGTAACCAGTGGGATCAGATTAGATTAGATTAGAACCCTAGAGTTAAAGTTAGCCTCATTTGCAAGAGTGAACCGAGGTATCTGGCTGCAGCAGGAGCAAAACACAATTATCAAATAAAAGTGACCTCATATTCGTCAATAGTACTGCCTTATTAAGAGGGAAAAAGAGATCAATATTAAGTATTCTTTATACGTAATATAGTATAATATTACACGTGATGAATAACACAGACACTCCGTGATACAAGAAGTAGAAAGGATAAATATAAATTCAACGAGATAAGAAATAAAAGACAGAATTCCAAGATAGAGTTAAGAATCTAGAGACAATGATCACTCTATTAAGTATCTACTCTACAGCTTTTTAACATGACTGACAATTACCCAGTCTTCTCCTAGTTCGGGGAATATCATATTTATAAATTAATTATTCTAGCTTACCAGTTTCAAAACTTCTATAGAAAATGATTTGTAGATAACAGCTTCAAAAGCGGATGTAGGATGGGCTGCACTTGGGGATTTTTAAAATGAAATTTCTTTCTGCAATTAAACACGTGCTACAAATTGAGTGTTTTACAACTTTATAGCCTAATTAGGTTTATACACTAATCTGGAGTGTTAAACTCTTGCTGCCCAGTGATACATGTAGAGATAAATATGACACAAGCGTCCAAGCAGCGGGTTAAGGGAATGCGATGATATGCGGCCATTAGGGGTCACTGTTGTCTGTGTTGAAAGTTCCCCTCCGCAGGTGCAAGGAAAGAAACACTGTGAATGATGACCGATGCATGCGCCAACCCGACATTCAGAAAAAAAAATGCAAACCGCTTTGTGGAAAGTGAGCAGTAATTTATCTAAGAAATGGCTAACACTGGAAATGTGGATTTCCATCACTGCAGCAAGACAATTTCTCATGGAGATGAGAAGTTGCCAATGACCGATTCTGCAAAGGGACACCAACATTTTTGAGTTTGGCACGACGTAGTAGTGCAGAGTATTGGTACAGTATGGTTTTGTGCAGTGGCAAATGATACACATGCTGTTGTAGTGTGTAGGGTTGTGTGATATGTTAATGCTATGGTATAGACGATATGAAAACCGTGATAATTATATCGTTAGTTTTGTTAAAATATCATATCGTTAAAATTCATACCAAATAGTTTTGTTAAAAATGACATCGCGGCAATACTAGGGGTGTGGCATCACGTGTGAAGTGACGTAATGAGGCGAGGTTACCTCCAGTCGGTGAGGGACTCGGCGAGAACCGGAGGAGGTGGGGGAGCGGCCAACTGCTGCCAGGTTGGCAGGAGAATCTGCTGGGCTCCGCTGGGCCATGCCTGCACAGCATCCAAATACAACACGACCACAATAACACACGTCACCACAGTCAGATACACATTCAAATTACAATCACAATTGCACACATAGCCAGAATGACAATAACAGTCATACCTACATTCACAACTACAAAAACACAACGACAACTACACAAATGACCAATGCACACACCTAAAAAGATATACACAATCACCGTTACACAAGTACTCCCACTTATATACACGGCCACAATTAAACACTCAATTATGAATGCACATAACCACAATACTGGCACACAAATCGACACAAACAACAACTAAGCATAACCACGCATAATATCAATCATCCACATTTAAATGCTTGATGATATAAGAGATTGATGCCATCAAGAATGGATTGACCACATCAGAGATTGGTGCCAGAAATATGTGCACCACTTGACCATATTGGTACAAGACAGAGGAAAGAGTGGAAACGAAATCTACAGTGGAGACCTCTGGGCTATCTGCCCACAGACTGTGATGATGATGATGACATTCAAATGCACCATCGCAATTGCACACAACACTTCAAAAAATAATCACATGCAAGACTGTGCGAGTGTGCGTGCTGGTGTCCTCACTGTGCCAGTGTGCAGCGTGGCGCGGGGAGGCGGGTACGCAGGAAGCACCAGGGTGCCGCCGACCTGTGCCAACAGCCCTCCCTGGGTCAAGAGGCCCCCTCCCTGGGGCGCCAGCGTGAGCGGCTGGGCTTGGCTCACGACCGAGAAGCCGGGCGGCTTGCTGGGGGAGGCCTGCAGGCCTGCGTGCACACACACAAAGATCCCCGTATAGCCTGAACAGACTGTTGGGGCAAGTGCTGTTAGGGAGCACCAATCAAGGCTGGCACGGCACACGAGGGGGTGGATGGCCAGCACCACGCCCGGCCGCCTTTGTCTCCCTAGTGGCGATGTTCACACATTGCACCAGGTACTAAATTTGAGGCCGAGTAGAACTAGGGGAGGCCCAGGAATGGTTCTGATAATCGTCACTGGAGTTGGCCATGAGCAGGAATCGAACCAGGGTCACCAGGTTCGTACCACAGCGCGACAACCACTCCACCCCCAAACACACTAAATCAAAAGGCCGACATGTTCGGTAATTTTAATTTCATAGCTAAAAAGCATTGTTTCATAATTTATAACAGTCATACAATATTTTTCAGCCTTACACATACACAAAAACAATACTGAAACCTACTCTTCCACTACCTGTCATCACATCACCTATAATTTGCCTGAAGTCATCAGATCTCAGAAGCTGTATGTATGTTGGAGCTTCTTTCACACTGTAAATAGCCAACCGTGCTAATTGGAGGTGCGGGAAGCTAAGCAGGGATATGGGCCCGGATACAGCTTGGAAGGGTGGATATACAACAAAGTGGGCAACAGAGGCCGGTGTAGCAAAAGCCATTATTGTACTAGACTTATTTTCCCACATCTATGCTCCCCACCTTCATCAATCCATACTGGCCAGCATGGTTAAGCCCTGTCGAACAACTCCCATGACCTGCACTGTTTGGGGGGAGGCCCCCCCATAACAAAGGGCTGCTGGGAGGCCTTCATCCGGTAGCCCTTTGTCAATCTCCTGCTGGATGGGGGCCTCCTCAATGCCATGTCAGTCACGGACGTTGTTTGACCATGCTGGTCCGTAGAAGTCGGTGAGAAGGCGGGGGCGAAGGGTACACAACCAGTTCAAGTGTAACTCACCCCTGCTGTTAGCCATGGGCAGGAATCCAACTCAGGTTAAAGGGTTAAAAGTGCAGTGCATGAACCATTGCGACACCCCTTGTTGAATTACTCCAGCATAGAAAACAAAATAAACTACTTCGCAGTAATTTGAATAATCTTTACGGCAATAATGACCACTTGTGCCGCAAGTCAGAAAATCAGTACAGAATGACAGTGGTGGTGGTGGCGACGCTCACCGGTGAAGGTAGGAGGCGGACACACAATGAGTGTCTGCTGGTAGGTGTCGTGGCGCGGTGGGTACTGAGGGGGCCCTGCGGGGCCCAGCGTCACACCGCCCCGCGCCACCGGCTGATAGAGGGCGGACGGGTAGCCCAGCAGGGAGCCGACCTCCGGGCTCAGCAAGGACAACGTGGCCCCACCAGCTGACTGAGGCCCGGCCGCCTACACGCAACACACGGGCGCACCATATACCACCCATCACAAACCACGTGTAGAAACTCGTTTAAACCACACTGCACGGCACAATGGTCAAAATGATGGCTTTAACTTGTGCATGTTCTCTAATACGTGCTCCTCTTTCTGTCTCCCCGTGTAATGCCAAGAATGCATCTCGGTTTAACACCTAGGCTTTCGCGACCAATATTATCCAAAAAGGTTTTTGGGTTAGATCGCGTAAATATATAATAAAATTCTCCATGCTACTTTTTTGTGTTTTGAGATTTGTTCCAATCTCTTTGTCAAGCGTCAATCTTTCTGATCCATGTTATAGCAGGTAATACACACCGACTACAAACATTCCTATTTAGACACATTGGTAGGTTCCTTTTGTTTATTATCAAGTTTGGGTTTACCAAAGCACTCCAACCTGCTCTCATCTGCTTTTGGCAAGTGTCCAGAGTTATATTAAAAAAGACCAGTTAAGAGTTAAAAAGCATGCAGGTAAAGAAAAGCATTCATAACACATATTAAGATAAATCAAAAAACGCATAAAATTACGTGAAAAATTCATAAGAATCAAGTATAACATAAGGATAAACGTTTAAAGCAGTTGCATTTAGGAAACCTAATCATTTAGAATCAAAATCAGCTTCACCGTGAACTGCTTTTGAGACGCAATTGGAATTTAAAGTTATTCAAAAAATTGATCAGACATGAAAAGATCGCTGGACCAAAACTGTTATATAAACCCTTGGAACGGAACATTGTGGAACATCTCAATGTTGCGTACATACAAGCGGGAAAGCGTGGCCAGTCGGTGCGGTCTGCAAGGTAACTTGGCGTTGACCTTGTGGCGTGCGCTCACCTGTGTGTGCATGGTATTGAAGGTGACCGTGAGGTTTGTCGACGGTCCCTGTGCCACTTGCGCGAGGAATGGGGCCTTGCTGGGCCCCAGCTCGTACAGTTGCAGCCGCCGCTTACACACCTCCATGTTCTGAAAGCACGACTTGATGCTGCGCACGGGGTGAAACGGCAATAACAACAAAACAAACACATCGTCATTTCACCCCGATGTATTTAAGTGTATTTTGATTTAAAGCTTACGTGACTGCAGGGATTCATATTCTTGGTTCTTTCGGTAAAGTCACGTAGAAGGGAAATAATAAAATAGAAATATAAAACAATAAAAATTCTCACGACGTTTCGACTGCAACACAAGCAATCGTCATCAGGTGATGATCATCAGGTGATGATTGCTTGTGTTGCAGTCGAAACGTCGTGAGAATTTGTATTGTTTAATATTTTTATTATTTTATTATTTCCCTTCTACGTGACTTTACCGAAAGAACCAAGAATATCTAAGTGTACTTTATTGTTTAAATGTTATTTTACGTTTTTTTGTGAAGGGTTCTCTTTAGAGTCTCCTGCAGGAAGGTACTGCCAGATTTTGTCACAAGCATATATTGCATGCGTGCATATGTCATTTTTACGTCTACAGGCAACGCAAGAAAAATACTTATTGCTATAAACCTGGGATCAATATCAGCATTGGAAATACTCCTCCAACAAATAAAGTTTCACTCTGCAAACTTTAGCATTTAAAAAAACAATCGAAATGTCAAGTAAATTTTTTTTTAAGAATTGAAAACGTGCAGACAGTTTCATACATAATGAATCAAGTCACAAATCAATTATTCATGATCGTTCACCAGCTATTCAGGTCTATGTATGCCTAAAGGGTAGTTGGGTGTGTAACAATGACAGCATTATACGAGCATTACAAAAATAGGCTCGACACAAAAAGACCGGCTGGCTTAGGCGTCCGGTGCACTGAACTGGCTCCGCCGGTCCTGAATTCAAATTCAGGTAGTCGGTTGACCCAGTGATTAAACTGCGTTGTCATTGTGCAGTAAGTTTCCAGTTCCACCCCACTCCCCGATGACTGCATATATACATTCACTACCACACTGAAATTTTGATTTTTGCTTAATTTAGCTCGTCTAGCTCTGACAGTTAAGAACATCCATTTGGCAGCAATGTGATACACATTCAGGGTAAAAGGTAACTTGAACAGCACTCAAGAGGAGTTCTGTTATGATCTGCTTCCGTGAGCAATTTCCTAATGCATGAAGTTGCAAGGCTCTGCAAAAGTTACGAATGGATTCCACATCTCGTGCCATGACGAATATAGCACAGTGAGAATACAACTGGGAAAACACAATAAACCCTTTGACAGCACCTATGTGCTCATTATGTGAGCATGGTATCGTGAATATTAAAATTATGAGTATTACTATATTTCTTTTGCCATGTTATACTGCTGTGTTATGTTAAACTTACTTCACTCTATATATGTGTAGTTCACAATTTCATTATGCCAACACATTATATCATTACACCATTACGTAAATAATTATATGACACTTATTTACTCAGGAATCTTAGGTTTCAGTGGAAGCACCCGAGGCTCATTCGACCAAGTGAAAACATTCAGGATTCCTAAGGCTTTTATGAAAACGGGATCATATTTAGTCTGAATGGGATCGGATTGCATCCAAGACTGGCAGCACCATGAATCACGGTGTCGCTATACGACTCCTCTTTTGTTACGGGTGCTGCGTAGGGAGCCGTGGGTGATGGGAGGTCGTATTGCACTGTTGTTGATAGCTTTGAGTATACCGACAGGGGAATTTGGTGGTGGTTGTCCTATTGTACGAAGGACGGCATTGCATCGTTCAAAGGACAGGTATGAAGTAGCGTCACATCGTGTGTAAATTAATGAACTCCTAACACTAGATGGCAACTGGTTGGCATAAATGATTCCTAAATAAGTGGCTCAAGTGGCACCTGCGCAACCCTGTAACCTGAAACTCTGTTACCTGGTTGTATAATCGGACCATGGAAACATTCGACGAGCACCTAAACAGCATTTGATTAATTTCTAATATCCCAAAAAAAACTAATCATTAAGACCGCGTAGATAGGATCCTATCTACATGACTTTACCGAAAGACCCAAGAATATGAATTCCTGCAGTTACGAAAGCTTTAAGTAAAAAAAACGGTTAAGAAAAAACAGATGCCCCACCATCCAGGAATCTTATATTTACAGATATTAACAGAGGGCAGAGTCTTGCACATCATGCCAATGACAGCACCAAGACTGACTGATTTAACTCGGGGAAATGTGCGACTTATATAAGAGTGTTAGACCAAAGGCAGAACCAATCCAAGTTTCCTCTTTGGACAGACTCCCATATAAACTGCGTATCTGCTGTTAGCAAGCCTATTAAATGCTAGCACAGCGCATGATGGGGTCGTTGTTGCCGAGATGACAACCTTGCTACCTTTGTCTCGCCAGAGCTGATGTTTACACACCGCACTAGGTACTCATTTATGTATGTTATGTATGTTGAACTTCATTCGCACCATACGCAGCCTAGCCAACCGTGCTAATTGGAGGTGCTGGGTAAAGTCCGAGTCGAGTCTGGGATCGCTCGCATGGTCACTGCGTACTGGTTGGTGCGGGGGAAGTCGACAAGGTGGGTCATGGTGACGAAGGGATGCGCCAGTGTCTCCAGCGGCGATATGCGCTTGTCGGCGTCCATTGTCAGCATGCGGCGCAGCAGCTCGATGAACTGACGCCGGTCGGCTTTCTCCGCCAGCACGTCACTGCCCTCCAGGTCCGACGCTGGGTTCACCTGCAGGCACAACATCAGCCCATTCGGATGCATAAGCACAACAGCTGCCATTCACCACGAAGCGACAGCGACGTCACCGCAGCACGTGTGCAAGGCTAGGTGCATGTTTGGACCACAAGATGTATCGAAGGGTCAATCGCAAGTACATCGTTGAGACTAATGATGGTGTGGCAGCCAGAGGAGTGAACACACGAGAGAATATCCACTGCGGAGATGAAAGCATGAAATAAGCTCATGTTTTACAACAAGACCTTGAGAAGATTGTGGCAGCTTGTGGAGGCCTTCATCCAGCAGCGGATTGATCATGGCTGATAATGAAGACGAAGGACCTGCCGGCTAATGATGATGTGAAAGAATATCAGCCTATGCCTTACTTAGGCACGAATGTGAAAGCACACAGTTCCCTGTTCCACGTACCACCACACTTCCCCCAAAACCTAACACCTTTTCCACTCACCTGGCCCATGTCCTCCAGGCAGTTAAACATGTACTTCCTTGCCTCTTTAGATTTGATTCCCGTTTCTGCCTCGTGCTCCTCTGGGGACTGTACAGACAAACACCCATGCACGCCCGTCAAACAGATATTTGCGTCTCCGAGTTCATTATGTGTGTGCGATCAGGGGTGAGTGAGCCAAGTGAAGCCGTGTGCAGTTGCAGTTGTAGGCATATAATTAAAAAAAGCTGATATGATGTTTCAAACTAGAACAGATGTACTTGTAACTTTCAAGCCAGTCTGCCTGTGCTCAAACCTTGTTTTAGCCAGGTTGGATTGCATAAGGAGCTCACCAATACTAGGAAAACAAACCAAAAAGTTTAACTTCTGGAAAAAACGATTCTCAAAGCTTGGCGATACCAACTACTTACTTGTCCAAAACGTTATTTTTGCCAAACAGAAAACACCATATGAAAACAGCAGTGGCATTACGCTACTTTTTTTCCATCACCATTTCATATCGGACCTGAACATTCCTGTACCGGCCCAGCAACGAATATAAACCTGCCGACACAAGCTGCCGGTTCTCCTATGCCCAAAACAAACGAAGACCCTGTGGCCTTGGCCTGCTCCAGCTCCTTCCCATCCTCCCCGTTCTAATGCCCCCCCCCCCACCCCACTCACTCTTTAACACCATGGGGTCTGGTGACAGACACAGGGAGAACTGTCCCTTCAGTGGGCAGTAATCCAGGTTGTGATTGAGGGAGGGGTGGATTATACACATTGCTTTTATAAATTATTTTGTGCGACTGTATTGGCAGCGGTGTGCATGCACAAATAGCCGAATACATTTGGCAATAACACTGCCTTAAAATTTAAATATCAAATGAAAAATAGATATTAGGCAGCAAGTTATAATAGGAAACATTTCAGGCAATTGTCCTTCATAGCACAGGCGTGCCAAGAAGGTTAATTGCCGAAGCTTGTTATGTAGTTTGATCATGGGAACTCCCTTGCCAGTGTCAAAATAGAAGAATAGGTTTTACCCTTGCTGGTAATAAAACAGAAAGAACCACAGAATATAAATAAAAAACAGGTGTTAAGATGTTAAAACACCAAACAGAAACCCCTTTTTTCAAGGAATCATGTCTGCATTAACCACATGAACTTGTGGTGAACATGCAAAAAAAACATGCTCTGGTTGTATGTGATGCATCGTCTTTGAAACAGATTGGTCCACACCGCTTGAGACTATAATCTAAAGAAATGTCGAGTGTGGACCAATTACTTTCAAAGACAACGCATCATAATAATATGGTTCCAAACACAGTTAAACCCACAACCTGGATGATCTGCTCACGGATAAATGGGAATGTAACTGTATCTGTACAACCAAGTCGTTGCGCACGCACCTTGATCCTCCACAGAGGGTATCCTGCTCCCGTCTCGCGCTGGAAGAACCGCCCCGTCTTGGTGCCGGCACTGAGCAACTGCTCCGGTGGGAGGCCTTGAGTTGCAGAAATGTAGCGGATCTGTGAGGTTGCAAGCACATTACCATCAATCATCAGCAGCAGGCGTGGACCAATCCACTCATGGATGAAGGCTTTCATCCATCATCGCTATCCCTCCTGGTAGTTAGTGGTCCAGGTGGAAGTTCTGGTGATCAACCCCCAATACCAGCCAGCAGGCATTGGCAAAAACCTCCAACCATAACATATAACATAGATATTGGCCAATGCGTTTCAATGGTGATTCTACAAGGGTGGACAGGCCACCACCTGCCCTTAATTCTGACGCTACAATGGCAACAGCATCACATCCCTCTGCTCACCCCACGATTTCACAAATCCTGCAATCCAATGAAAAACAGTATTCGATGTTAAGAATGGAATTGTGATTCCAGGCAAGGAATCGTTGCTAACCACCCAGCTATAAAAGCCCCCCCCCCCCACCCCAAGTGAAATATCCCAACTGGCATTAAGCGATCCAAGGGTCTAGCCACTTCGGCACCCAGCCATTCAATTACCAGTCACCCATGGATCCAGTCACCCAGGTAACAGCCATCTATAGACCCAGCCATCTTTTGACATACCACCGTACAGCCAGACACCCAAGTACTCTACTGCAAGAACTCGACCACCCAAAGAGCAAGCTTCCAAGGACCCGGCCACTCAGGGACGATCTACTCAAGGTGCTCAGGAGAGGCTGACCTGGTCATACTCAGAGGCGCCAGGGTAGAGAGGCCAGCCCAGGAAAAGCTCCGCTATGACACAGCCGAGTGACCACATGTCGATGGCTTCGCAGAATGGCAGACCCAGAATGATTTCCGGAGCCCTGAGGACATATAGATGTAGTTCGCAAGAGATCACACACCTGCACATTATCCAATACTAAATATGCATCAGGAGCAGGGGCTGTCATTATGCTTTTTTATAATCAATCGTCTAGATAGACATTTTACATTTGTAGAAATATGTAAAAACACACAAAGCACTCACCACCCCTTAGCTAAAGAAACGTACACTAACTTACAAAAATTAAGGCTCATGTACAAAAGGACCCTTTCTGACCTGTAGACTTCCCCACTCTCTCCTAAGCCTAACCCCCACCTCGTCCCATTCCCTCCTTTCCCCACCTGTAGTAACGAGACTGCAGGTAGGTGGAGCACACGGCCTTGGAGACGTGACTGGCCGAGCCGAAGTCAATGACCTTGACGCGGTAGGGCTGACGCACGGGGTCCACCAGCATGATGTTCTCCGGCTTCAAGTCGGCGTGAATGAGACCCAGGCTCTTGAGCTTCATGAGTGCGCTGGCCACCTGCTGCAGCACGGGTCGGATGTACTTGAGGGGCAGCGGGCTGAAGTTGTTCTGCTTCAGGAAGTCGTAGAGGTTCTGCTCCAGCATCTCGAAGACGAGGCACGTGTGGCTCTTATGCTGGAAACACTCGTGCGCGCGCACAAAGTTGTAGTCATCGGCGCTTTCCGAGCTCAGGCGCGCGAGGATGCCCACCTCCACCTGGGCACAGGGAGCACATTGGGAACATAGATGGAGGCAGTTATATAGTCTCTGTGAAAGGCAAACTTACATCTGAAGTCAAATACTCCCCCCCCTCTGCAGTAACCAGGATTCTTCAACTGTATTTTTCAGTGGACCACATAAAATATTTAGTGTGCGTTGGTGGGTCACCTGACAAATAATTCACACAAGACATTGTGATGCCATACGTCATCATGACATCACAACATCTGTACCTTTGTCTTAAAGTCTGTTATTGTTCGCATTTTTTCTTGCTTTCATCCAAAAATCTGGTCTACAACTCTCTCATCTCTATTTCCTGCTTATTTCTCTTTCATCTCTCTGTATCTTTGTAATCGCTTAACGTTGGACACGGTGGAAGCAAAAGCCGATATGAGGGAAAAAGAGGACAGCCAGGCTCACCTGGCCCTGTCGAGCGTAAGACGGGTGGTTCTTCAGGATCTTGATGGCCACGATTTCGCTGGTGCCGCGCTTCCAGCATTTCACCACCTGGCCGAACGTACCGCGCCCCAGAAACTCCAGCACCTGCACGGGGAGGGGTGGGAACACGTCACGTGACCGGTCCTCATTACCATAAGCATTACACGCCAGTCGACGTGTCCCCCATCTCAAATAAGCACGACACGGTTCCCATCTCTGTGAGCAGTCGAGGCAGTGGTAGAACCGACACGTTTGCCATGGTGGAAACAATTCCTTACTTCTGGCAACCCAATGTCTATCAAGTCAGCAATGTCATCATGAGCCAGGATCAATCCACTGCTGGATGAAGGCCTCCTCAAGCCTTTGCCATCTCTCATATTGTACCAATGAACATATTTGTCTTTACTCTTGCCCACTGACCACGTTCCCTTCCTGTGACATGATATGCGCAATCCAATTGATGTAAATACTCAATTTATAACCCAGGAGTTATAATGATGTATCTGGGATGGCCCTGGATGAGATTTAAACTCACATGCTACATTTCCACCAGTCGTAAGCAGCTTCACAACCGAAATGCAGCCAAAAGAAATGACTTCACATGAAAAATGTATATCCTGCATGTTCACTTCTAACTGCAATGTTACACGGTCTAACCATGTCTCATCCAGGGCCCTTATTTTTACATTAGAGCGATGATGACCCAAGGGCCATCACTGAATATTACGCAAACAGTGCTCCAACACTTGTCCTCAGACCACTGACCCATACCTCATAGCTGTTGGTCATGGAGCGCAGGACCTCGTGCTGCACCAGTGTGTAGTCCCCATCCGCGGCTGGCCCCCCGGCCTTCCCTCCGCCACCCGCGCCACCCCCGGGCACCGTTCCACCTCCACCTGCATTGCTCTGCAGCAGCGGTGGCGCTGCATGCAGAGGTGGCTCCTCGCCGACCATCAGCACGCTGCTGCCACCTCCTCTCCCACCACCTGTGCAACCACTGCCGCCCCCCATTGCGCCGCCACCACCACCGCCGGCGGTGGTGGCAGCAGCAGCAGCGGCGGCAGCGGCACAAGCGTCCAGCTCCTCGCTCTTGCGCTTGAGCCCGCAACGCGTGTAGGTGTCCAGCAGGCTGACTGTGCTGCGCCGCATCAGGCTGTGTGTGGGGCCCCCACCCGCAGCTCCCGGCACGACTGCCCCACCTGGTAAGGCCCCTCCGACTGGTGGGCCTGGTCCACCGATGCCGCCCGCGAGTGGCCCCGAGCCTCCGCCGTCGTGTGGAAGGAGCGACGAGCCGGGGTTGCTGGCAGTGGCGGCAGCAGCAGCAGCAGCAGCAGCGCCAACGGGCCGGAAGGCCGGGTGTCCGTGGTGCTGGTGCTGGTACTTACGGCGGTACGCGGCGGCGCCGTCATGGCAGCCGTAGCCGCTGGACTCCACCTTGAGCTTCTTGGCGCTGAAGAAGGCTCCCAAGTGTGGGGAGAACACCTGCACCTGGGAAGCCATGCCTTGGGAGTGGGGATCCACAGTGGAGAGGCAAACATCAGTCACATGGCACTACGATTGTGAAGCATCAGAAATAACAAACATGCTTTCAACAATAACTCTCTTCTGATACGAAAGATTCCCAGATAAACCACATTCTCATTCAGCCACATGCCCGATGGGCTGCACGCATGCAGAATTTATTTTATTGGGTGAGGCTTGCGGCAAACATGCCATGCCTCCAACAATGTGCAACGCTTGCTCCAGTGCAATTACCCCTCTTGGCCCATTCTTCTCCATGCACTCTCCCACTCTACTCCTACGTTCCCCTTTTCCACAATTGATTTGTTTGTTCACGTTGGTCCATGTATATAGCATGAACTGTTTATTCCCAGATTGGTCCAACCCACCCAGTTAGTGTAGATTCAAGTCTGGTATATAATCCAATGGTGAAATATGAGTGCATATATACAGCATAACACTTCGAATTTCATAATGCTCTTTGAGTAAGCGGATAAGAAATGATAATTGTTTATCAGCAGCCTAAGGTTTTGAAAATGAAATTGACAGTATAAAAAAAAGTAAATTTTGATAATCATGTTGTTGCTGCAGCTAAGTTCCCAAGTTTCTGAGCATAACATCCACTCCATGCGATATGCTATGAGGTACATGGCTACCATACTTGAAGCTTAAGGAACCCAAGTGACTTTGGCCAAATATAGGCGGGGGATCGATAGGCTTGACAGATAACTCTTCTATTATGGAACTTTGTTCATCCACAATAACGGTGAATAATTATATAGCGCATGTTTCCCAATGCTGTACGATAAATAAATGGTGTTATGGCCTTTGCAAAAGAGGGCAGTCGGGAAATTTTTTTTTCTGGACTGTACCACACTCCAATGTCTATGCTCCCTCCTCAATCAACCTCCAAAAAACTCAAAAATAAGTAGTAATCATGCCCCACATAAAATACCACAAACAGCTGAGATGATTGCGATATAATTCACCGTTTAAACCGTCCATCAGTGGACAACTAATAACAGGTTTCCAACCAAAAAATATAGTAATTACATCTTTGGAAAATTATTTAATTACCTACACGTGTCATGACCAGTTGTTTATAATCTGTTTATTGGTTTATTTTAACAACACGCAAAAATGTGCATTGCGTGCACAAAAGCTCCCACCATATGTTTATCAGCAATTTAATGTAAATATCGTATTATCAATCCAGCATTCCAACATCAAACCCTACCGTTTAGCCCCTGAAACTCACCCTCTATCAATAATCAACTGTGCTTTCATCAGCAATAGCCATTGCTAACTTATGAGCCAAGAATGTGCAGGGAGAGATGTTGTGTGGTGGCGTCTCTGACGGGGTTATTCCTGTCTTGGAACAGAAGCTGCCCCCCTCAGAGATGCCGCATTTAAGCCTTGGGGATAAATCGCTCTCTCTCTCTCAAGGGACTCGGCGCTGCTGTTGGGGGCAGTTATCCAAAACCTGTGATTATACAGACTTCAAAGGCAGTAGAGCTAAGTGATTTCCAGTCCGATAATATTCCTCCAACACCCTTGGCTGCAACCCATATTCTGGGCATTTCTCAACTGTTGTCAAATGTTGATACCCACATGAAAATGTTTAACCAGGTAACCTTTGGCAAATGCCGAGTTAAAGAGAGTAGACTGGCAATGCTAGCTAATTCTACAGAACTCAAAAACGCGAGGCTCGCCACGTTATGTATATAGCAAAGATATTATGGTCGGTGCTGCTGCCATGAAGAACTGACATCAAGGCACATACGAACACTATGGTTTTACATACATGTTACTTTAAAATTTGTACGTGACAAACAATAGAACCCAAGGTGACATTTTCTAACGTTGTGCAGCATTATGCGATTTTACCGACAATACCTTGCATGTGTGCAGGACAGCCTAATATTATTGTGCAAATTATTACAAAAAAATATTCTTTCAAAATCATGTTGTAATTGTTTATTGGACCATTTATCCTCAACATAGGCAATGTTAACAGTAAATAGTCCTGTGGATGCCAGCAACGACTACCAAACATTTATTTTTAATCAAGGCACAAACCGTTATTTTCAAATGGAATGGCATAAATACGTATTTAAAATAGCTAACATTCATAATGGAGACATGATGTTCAGACAGAATGTAAACTCGTTAAAAAAATTCCATTTCCACATCATGAATGAAAACTTATACCGTTACCTTCATGTTTAAACGTACTATATAACCACACACGCACACATACACACGTATAGATCCCAAAGCCACTGACATCGACACATACATATACAAGACGAAGATCATCTGATACAGGCAAGTGCAATTAGTGTGTAGCTGTTGAGACTGACAGAGCACTTAAGGCATTGGCATAACGAGCACCACTCTCCGATGTCTTTGTGTGCCCCACCTGCACCAATATTTACATACCAGAGCATGTACTCAATTTGGCAAAACAAACAAGAGATAAACCAGATGCGGGAGTGGTGGCAGAGTAATTAGTACACTGCGCTAATAACCCGTAGCCGAGCTGAGTGTTGACACCCAGCCACGGCTAACATCAGTGAGGAGTGATATCTGAAATGGAATTGGGTTCTTCCCTTCACAACACTGCAACAATGACCAGCGAGGTGAAGTATGGCCAAACAACCACCATCACTGACCAAGCATTGTGAGGCCTTCATCCAGCAGAGATTCGACAAAGAGTTGTAAATAATTATTTAAATATAAAAGGGAAATTTGTGAATCTGTGTGTCTGTTCAAAATGTTTAGCATACTTCCCGACATGCAAACTTGAAATTTGCCACGTGGGTAATTTCCAGACTATACACCATGCAAACATTTTAAAAATAGACGTTTGTATTTTTGGAGGGGGGGGGGGCAATAATGGATATATTTTGCACGCAAATGAGCGATGACGTCACATATCTGTCATGTCACCCGCATGCGGCAGCGTGACGCAGTGTGCCTGCTGACGTCACGCATCCCCCAACCCTCCGCATAGGCCGTGTATCCCAGCACAAATGCGCGGCTGGGGGGGGGGGAAATAGGTAACACACTTTTAATTTGGCACGTGGCTATCTCCCATACCGTACACAATGTAAAACGTATAAAAATAGACTTTTGTATTTGGGGGGGGGGGGGGTGGAATGACCATGATGTGTGTGGCGAGAAACGATATCTGGTGAGCGTTTGTGGTATCGATTAAACGGGAATAGGCCGATTGATCAAAGTTTTTTTTTTTCATTTGTGTCTGTTATGTTTTTAAGTTGAGAAATTTTTCAATTAATTTTTCCCCCGGGCAACGCCAGGTGCTTCCCGCTAGTTATTTATAAACCAAGTTCAGATCATTGCCACTGCCAATGTGCATGGTGTAGAAGCAAACCCTGGTCGGTAGGGATCCCAGCACAATGCAAAAACCACCATGTATACCTGAGGAGGGAGCCATCGTCCTTACATCACACGTACATGCATTATAAAAAATACCCAGTATAGCCTTAACAAACTTTTTGGGGCAAGTGATGAAAGCGAGCATCTATGAAGGCCGGCACGGCACATGAGGGGGTGGTGAGTGCCCAGCACCATGCCCGACCGCCTTTGCCTCCCTAGTAGGCGATGTTGACACACCACACCAGGAACTAATTTGAGCCGACGTAGGGAAGGCCCAGGACCAGTTCAAATAAGTTGGCCATAAGCACAAATCGAACTCTGGTCACCGGGTATGTAGCGCAGCGTGCTAACCGCTACACTACCACTGTCCAAACCCACACACACATTATGCAACCTTGTGATATTCCATGCCAGGACTTAACCATCACATGGCAGGGTTGTCAATATCAAGGACAGTACCATTCATTATTTTTGGATTATTCGGACGGGACAGGCTACGGAATTCCCACTCGAGACAACTGCTGTTACATTCGACCAAATTACTGATTTTACACTGAAGAACACCATTGCAAGCTGGTACACTATAAATACTCAGAGCTCGTGCTATTATATTAAAGCAGATGACTGCTACTACACTAGAGATTATCTTAAGGTCACAACTAAAGCAGCTTAAGTTACATTTTATTTTGTGGACTCAGACTAGATATTACACTTGTCGGTACCACTGGAGGTGGAAAATCTTAACTGTTTTTGGAAAATCTCTATAATAGACAATCCTCTTCTTTCCTATAGCAGGGTGTTATGTGCAATGCTGATATGTTCATGTCAAGGTTTGTGAGACAGAAGACAGCTTCAAGAGTAGCCTGCTGCATATCTAAAATGCTGCCAGTGAATAAAACAAGTGGGCAGTGGTTGAAAAAAAACTTAGCATTCAACTATCACACGTTTCAAAACTGTTGCTTTTCCATCCTGTCATAGGATAAAAGAAGAATTGCGATATTATGCTCGAAACAGGCTACTGATATTACACTTGAGATAGCCATAATAAGCTTAACAGTTATTGCCCAACTGCTAAATAATTGAGAGGATCACAACCACATACGCGACACAAAAATAACACAAATAATTTATTACGTAAGATTAGAATCAAATGCATTCATTTTGCTAAACTCCAGCACTGAGAATAAAACATTGATTTGACTTTCATGACAAACATTGCTATCTGTGGCAGGGTGGGTAGAAAGGTGCTGCTCCCTACATTTGAAGGAATTTCAGAGTTAGCTCTGTGATATCCACTTCCGTCCCATCATTCTCTAACATTTAGGGTTACAATGCTCTGTGAGAGGTCTGAATGGATGCTTCATCTCGTGGCAGGTTGCTGACAGCGCAATCAGAAGACCATTTGGGGATAAGATAAAAATAAAATTCTATGAAAATAAAATGCACAATTAAGAAGCATTCAGTGGAGAAAAAGTAAACAAATGTATAGGCCATGCAATCAGATGCAATAAAAACCAATGGCATTTAGTAAAACCCTAAAATGTGATGAAGATGTGGAAGTAGATGCCTAGTAGAAGATTATTATAGACAATAGGTGGAG